AAAAGTTACAAAACATCATAGTTTATTTAAAAAAGAAAAGAATATAAAGATATATCATATTCACCAAATAGAAAAGCATAAATTTGGATGATTCCATGATTAAAAATATTTTATTTTTGAAAAGAAGAAAGGATTTTAAGTTGATTGGCAATTATCTATTGGATAAATTTTCATACTTGGCTAATTAGATTCATAAAATCAAATTATTGATCATTAATATAAAGCTAAATATTAATTTTACTTGTCTTCTAATTTTTCAATGAAAGTATCTTATAGTTTATCCAACTCAAAATCCATTATTTTTTTAAATTGAAAATTTATTGTAATTCCGATTTATCCTATAAGAAACCTAAAAATAATATTTCTATTAGGTGACGTTATTTGGCACAAATTTTTATTTTAGTAATTTTTTTCATAGTGTCTTATCATTTTGTAGATATATACATACATTCTAACTGCTTTTTTACTGCTTTTTACCTTCTTATCCCATTGTTGATGAAGATACCTCAATAAAATAGTAGTCTTTTCAGTAACTATAACTGTAAATATAAAGAAATTAGATAAAAATTAGACAAAAATTATATAAATATATCATCAATACACCATAACATATATTTACTTTGTTCGGAAGGATAGTCTTTAGTAGGAAGATATACCGATGGTCTCTTGACACATGTTCGATTTCCATTATCAGTATGAAAATTTGCAAAATTGTTTTCATCATGCGATGGGAGGCCCTTTAGAAATTCAGCAACAGACTTCAAAAAAATATTCATAAAAAGCTCATGTAGTAGGAAAATTCGACAATATTAAATTATACATTCAGCTATTAATAAGCTTTATAAAGAAAGCATTTGAGAGACTCAGACTAATAAAATATATCTTGTTTAATGTAAACATCCTTCGCACATACAAAATCTAAAGTGCGGTATGCAATACACATGATCGGTAAGAAAAATAAAAGAATTACAATTTACAGTTTGTCCATTTCTCTTACCATTATAAATAGATTATTCGTTGGCTATGGGAGTCGAAATTATTCACATAGAAAAAGACTTTCCGGCGACAATATCGATACGAAAACGAAAGGGAGTAGCATCGTTTGTCGAAAAGTCATAGAATACCACGTGCAATGAGAAGGCACTCACGAAAGTCATTTGATGCCTCTTGCGTTACGGTAAAACCGTACCAGTAAACACGTGAAAGAGATTAGCTATATATACAACGGAGTTAAACAATTTCGCATCTTTTTGGAGAGAGAAGGGAAGAGAGAAAGAGAAATAATTTCATCATATTAAATAAGAAAAATACGGGTATGCATATATATCTATTATTTAACAAATAAATTTACTCTCGGTTAATCTATTACCATCCTTAGATTGGGTCCTGTATTACCATTTGACATAACACGTAAACTAGCGTTGTCGCACGTTACCACGGTTACTGCGTTCGGTTTTGCGAATCTGAGACACCTCGCTCTTTTATCACGAAAATTCTTCGACAATTCGCATCTTTTTGCCACATGTCATTTCAGCTGCACTTGGTATTAGCTGCATTTCCAAAGCAAAGATCCGAGGCTCCTCGATCCATCTTGGATTCAAAGGCCAAGCTCATAGAGATGATGCTATCTTAAGCGCCGAAATTTAAATCAGTGACTGCATTTAGTATTTCATTTCGCTTATTAAACAATTAGCAATTAAATGTGATATATACAGTTGACAATTATGTTGTCATGTGATCTATACGAAGAAGCTTAAGACATCACCATGGATCAAAGAAGTATAACTTGAAGAGTGAGGGGAAAAAAACCACATTAATCGATCAGATTTAGATTTATTTTCACATCTCGTGGTAATTTAATATGATGGTGATTTAATATTGCTGCTTTTTGTAAAAAAAAATGTATCGTCTGATTTAGAAGAGACGTTATTTCGTACAATTGAGAAGGATTATGACAATGGACAGAGTAATGAAAATATAGAACCAACGAATCAAAAGAAATCTTTAAAAAAATTATACTGAATAATTCGTTAATTTTTGCTGTTTATCTACATACTTCTATCATGTACACTTGCGGCTGGAAGGAATTGATTAAAAATAATGACAGTTATAAGTATGAACCTAAAGCCATTGAAAAACAACACTGTGCAACCAGAGTATGTTTTGTGCAAATGGCTTTTGATCATGACGAGGAATGCTTGGTTGTAACAGATACTAAAGGATACTTACATTGTGTCGAGTTGTCTGAGAATCCATGTTATAAGATATTAGGAAAGATTGGACGAGCTACTTTCTTAGCATTTAATCCTATATACATAGGGGAGATACTAATAGGACTTGATACAGGTGATATAAAGATTTGGAAGCTTCATACAAATATTGATGAGTTTTGTTTATTATCCGGTCATAAATTAGCACCAATACATGTTTCCTTTTACAAACAACATTGTCTGACAAGTTCTCGAAACGAAGTGATAATATGGGATCTACAATCCTATAGCAAAGGTCATCAATTGAAAGTTAAAGTACAAAATGTTATAATCAAGAAAGCTGCCTTTTCAAATGCGGGTCACATTGTTGTGTTATATCATAATGACACTATGCAAGCTTGGACATTTAAACAGTTGCATAAGGACACCAAAATTGATACAAAAATATTTGGAACACGTTATATCAAAGATTTTGTCTTTACAAAAGATGGAAGAGCTATGATAATGGCTGGTGCAAGAAACGTACTTATTCTTAATACATATGATTGGAGTTTATTAAAGAAACTATGTTTGCCTAAGAATTTTGTTGAAGCTAAACAATTATCTGTTGTTCCATGGCCTTTGGATGGTGGAGCGAATAAAATCCTTGCATTTCTATCTTCGAATTGCGTTCTTCAATTTTGTGACATAAACGCATCAGTCTTTCTTGAAACGCCTATTCTTATTAGTAAAATTAAAAAGTTTATAGTTTCGTCTGCTGGTAAATATATAGCACACATAGATCAGGAAGGTTGTTTATATATAACATATGTAAACAAAATAATTTACAAAAAAATTAGTACTTCAACCTGACAAGCCATTAGAATTACATAGAATATCCGCGCACAAAATAAGCGATCATTTGGAATGTATTAGACAAAGCATAAAACGAGAATTAAATATGAAACGATTAATGTGTATTTTAAAAGAATTCGGGGAATATCCGGAAAAATATCGTACATTAATTTGGTCTACTATTTTAAAGTTGCCAGGTAATAAAAATGCTTATATTGCCTTGGCAAGTAAGGTAACGCGTGGAAAGTTTGCATCAAATACTTTAAAAAACTTTCCCTTAGCAGACAAAAGTAAGGCATCATTGTTAGCCATGACAATGGATTGCTTGCTGCAATGGTGTCCTCTATTGATACAAAGTCCATTTCTTCCCAATTTGATTTTTCCATTTCTTATGGCATTTCAGGTATCTTTTCTTATGGTTCAAATAGAATTTTATTTGCTTAAAAGGCATTAAAGATACTAAAATATATTTATCCATTTCAGAAAGATCCTCTACTTGCCTTTGAATTGATTTTAAGTATATTATTAAATTATTGCCAAAAGTGGTTTGAATATCATCCTTTGCCACCATTGAATATTTTGGGGATTATTGAAAATATTTTTCTAGAAGCTGATCCCATATTACTAAACCTTTTTTGCGAATATGGAATTACAAGTAGTGAATATGCATGGCCATTACTTCAAACAGCAATGAGTGAAGTATTATCGGGAGATGAATGGTTGATTTTATGGGATCATTTAATATCTTTTCAAAAGCCTTCTCTATTGTTAATGTGTGTCGCTGCATACAGCATCTCTTTAAGAGAAAATATAATTTCATTAATAAAGTCATCTGGAGATATTAAAACACTCTACAGCACTCAAAGCCATATTAGAGCCAAAGATTTATTAAAAATTGCGAGAAGATTAGATCGAGAAATATCAAAAAGATTGCATCCTGATTGTTACTTAAAGTAATAAACAAAACATAATATCAAGAAGTTAATCACACTTTAGGATATTAATGATTAATATTATTATTTCAGGGATAAACTGTTGCAATTGAATCATAGTGGACCCTATCTTTCCTTTATATCCAAAGAGTATCCAAAATTCCTTATCGAAAATTTCAATATTGCAGATTTGGAAAAATTAAAAATGCAAGAACAAAATTTGCACAAGTATCGTAAAATTACAGATTTGCTTGAAAAGAGGAGATTACATGCAGAAACCAAGGCTTTTGCAAAGCAAATTCATGAAACAAGAATGAATGGTAAAATGATATAAAAATTTTTATATCTTTTTCTTTTATATTCTTTATAATCTAATCTCAATAATATTTTAAATTTGAATTACAATTTAGTTTATAAATATTTTAAACAATTAATTAGTTGCTTATATTTCAGAAGTACAAAAATGCTTTCAAGATCATGTTAATGATCTAAATTGGGAATGGGAAACATTCTTACCAAATATAGAAAAAGATCAATTTCGTTATCACTTGTGTAAAAATTCTAATTTGCCAATTGAAAAAATGCAAAAATGTAAATGCATGAGTAGAGAAGATATAATTCCAAATTTTGAAGATACCAACTCAAAAAATTATAAAAAGTTGCAGCAAGATGTAACAAAACTCGAGTATGAAGTAGAAAATTTCTTGGATTCGTTGAGATTTCATAGATCAGAATCTAAAATTAATTAAAACTATTTTTAGAATGCAAAAATCATTTAAGATTTCTGTTCGCTTTTCGTCATTATTATCTCAGATTATGATGTTAGAAGCGAGAAAATATATAATAAAAATTCTTGCGGGATATATCAAAATGGAAATATATTTCAATAAAGCAATACAAGCGGTTTGTAAAACATATCGAAAACTTTCCTTTTGTTTTATTAATAAATAATATATAAACAAGTTTGGAAATGAATTTTGTATAATTAAAAACGAAATGAGCTAAGTTCATAGCTATAACAACTGCAACCAATATACAGAAATTATTTAGCCCCCTTCCCCGCATAAAAAGACAATTTTCACTATATTTTATAAGATTATTAATAACTATTAATTGCAAATGTTTTAAAAAATATTTCTATTTAAATATATTTTGCAAGAATTTGTTTCTGGCACAATCCGAAATAGTGATGTGTAAACAGAGGCCTTAATTTGAAAATCTACAAAAAAAAAATCACTAAATTCAGACAAAATGAAATATTTTTATTTGTAATATGTATATATATATATATATATATATATATATATATTATTAATTAAATT